ATTTAAGGACGTTTTACCCAGGCTTATCGTGGCCAAACAACGTAAAGAGTAAACTTTTCTTTGGCTGTATGTCTGAGTTATTACTTTCCGGCTTAATTAAGGTATTGCCTACAAAATAATTATTTTTATCTGGATTGTACCCAGCTCAAGCTCATAAAAAATAAGACGGGAAAAATACAGATTAAACCAAAAAAAATCACCAGGAAATTTCTAGATGGAGTCTGGCAGCTGGTGATACAAATCTTGTGAAGTGGGATGAAAAAATTTTGCACTAGGTGCAAATTTTTTTGGCGAAGCTCCAAGGATCTAAGGCTCCCTTGTGTGTATCGTCGCGTAGCGTCAGAACTAATTTGATCTAACAATAAACATCCTAGTAATGATGGTATAATTACCGACAGAATGTTAGGTAAATGGACGCAGAAGCAACTAATGTGAATCTTTATTATGGTAACGTTTAGCTCTCCGGGAGCATTGTTAAGCCGTTACGACTTGACAAGTAACATCTTATGCCCTTTTCTGGAGATTCACTAATTTTTACGGTTGATCGCTGAAGTGTGTCAGACCAGACAGTTCACCTCCTGAAGCTGTGGCTTCAGTGTGTGAATCTGTGTATTGTTCCAGTCACGATAATGTACCTTTTGTACTATATGCACAATTTTTAAGTGTTACTTATATTCATAAAAAAGAAGAAGTCGTTAGTGTCAAACTTGGCAGGAAAGTTTGAGGAATGAAGAGAATATATTATCATTATTTAAATTTATGGTAAAAAAATTTGGCATCTTGTCTGGCTGAAAAAACACTGATTTTTAGCCTCTGAAAAACACCTGTTTCTTCCATCCATCCGCCTTTCTCTCTTTCCCTCCTCTTATCCTCCCTAAACCTCCATCTTTATTTCCCTTTGCTGCAACGGAACCTCTGAAGCTGTGATGGCTGTCGAACCCATAGTGGAATGCTGGACGATACCCTCACAGCACCTACTGACGTCTCTCAGCTCATAATGACAGATTTCGTTACCTGAAATACGAAAAGCAAGTCAAGAAATATAACAGATGTACAGTTAGATTTTATTTCCATTATGTTACTATTACAGAGAAGAGTAATAACACACTAGTGATATACTCAGTTGTTTACCATCTTCTTTATCTCTTTATAAAACCATCCCAACACCTCTCTTAATACGGTGCCAAATATATATATATATATTATAATATATTATATATATATATATATATTATATATATATATATATATATATATATATATATATATATATAATATATATATTATGTCGTGCCGAATAGGCAGAACTTGCGATCTTGGCTTAAATAGCAACGCTCATCTTGCCATATAGGACAAGTGAAAATTTGTGTATGCAATAATTTCGCCAAAATCATTTTGAACCCAACAAGAAAAATATATTTCACTGTGTTTGTTTAGTATTAAATTATTGTAAAGGTTAGGTTAGGTAAGGTTCGTCAGGAAACAGGACAAATGTTTCCTGACGCGGGTCTTAGTCAGATGATGACCCGCCTTTGGAGCTTTTGGTCATCTGACCGAGGCCTTCCGCTGGCTTACCGGTCCACCCCTTTAAAAATTATGGTCATTTATAACCATTGTTACTATGTAATAATAATTATTGTAAACAAATCTAAAATATATTTAGTTGGGTTAGGCTAAAATAAATTGTTCTTGTTATAATAAGGTTAGGTAAGTTTTCTAAGATACTTTTGGTGCAAAATTAAAAAATTTTACATCAACATTAATGAAAAAAATATATCTTTAAACGTATAAGAGAAAATTTCGAAAAGGACTTAATTTTATATGAGTTCTTGCTAATTGACCAGTTTTACATATTCGGCACGACATATATATATATATATATATATATATATATATATATATATATATATTATATATATATATATATATATATATATATATATATATATATATATATATATATATATAATGTAAAGGCTTGAATCAGAATAAGTGTAGAAGTTTGCATCAAAGGAAACCAGCTCGTTTGTGTATGGTAAGAATGATGGAAAAGGAAGAGGAGTCATTAACAGATTGGATTCGCTTAGTTTACCTGTGAAAGTGACAGCAAGGTGTATCAACACTGTCTTATCATACAACACATTCCACGAGTTATTAACACCACAGACGTTAGTGAACAGTTTTAACTAAAAAAAAAAAAAAGGTACCAATATTTGCTTTAGTTAGATACTTTGTAAAGGTAGCAATACCTGTTGTTAAGAATATGGTAACTATAGAAGCAGTGAAACCTGTATGCTGAAACAGCGACAGATGGAGTTGCTATTGTCAACAGCGTCAACTATATGGGAAATATATACGGTGTTCATGGGAGTATATATTAGTGGGGCGAATATACACTCAAGATAAGTGTCACTGCCCAAGAAACTCCCCCAAGAGGGTACAATCCAAATTTATCTCTCACCCACCAATCCCTCCGGCCTCACCCTCCCATGACCTTCCTCTCCCTCCCTCCCTCCCTTTTCCCAAAAAATAAAATAAAACCTTCTCCCCCCTTCCTTGCTAGCCAATGTAAAGGTCGAGCGTGATGGATCAAAGTGTCAATCCTGCCTATCCCGTCCTGTGCCATCCCGTCTCTTCCTGTCCTGCTCCATGCTATTCCGTACCTTCCTTTTTATTAAAAAAAAGTGCTACACCAATATGGGTCTTACAGCGCTGCTTTTACCATGTCCTGTTCCATCTCACGCTATCCTGTCACTTCCTGTCCCATTCCATCACTTCCTGTCCCATTCCATCACTTCCTGTCCCATTCCATCACTTCCTGTTCTAACCGGTCCCTTTTTGTTTCATCTCAAACACATCCTTCGTCCTCAACACTAAAATAATTCTGGGGACCAGCCAAAAAGTAATATCGCGTGTATATGCATGCAAATGTACAGAGTTACGTACACAACCACGAAGGTAAGTGAGGAAGGAAGAATGGAGGGACAAAGAAAGGGAAAATTAAGAAAACAGTCGAATATAGGCAAATATAAATTGAAGACAGCAGCAGTAGTTTTGGCATGATCTGTTATCTTGGTAGAGATTATTATCATTATAATAATTAAGGGGGAAGCTCTAAACCCGTAGGATTATATAGCCTCTGGGAGGGGGGGATGTGGAAGATATTCAAGTTTAATTTAGGGAACTGGAGAACAGATCCAATTCCATGGATCAAGAACTTCTCACCAGCATCAAGGAACCCTCCTTGACGGGACCTTGGTAGAGAACTTCCGCAGTACCTGGATAGCAGAACAAATTATTATTATTATAATCAAGGGGGAAACGCTAAACCCGTAGGATTATACAGCGCCCAGGGGGGGGGGGATGTGGAAGGCATTCAGGCTTAATTCGGGGAACTGGAGCACAGATCCAATTCCCTAAATCAAGAGCCCCTCACCAACATCAAGGAACCTTCCCTGAGGGGTGAGTTTTTTTTTTATGTTAATCTCCAGGGTTTGTTACCTGGACCTCAGCAATGAGAGTGGCTACTCTCACCGCTGGGCAACGGCGACCACTGCAAAAGATTTCATGACTCTAGAAAGCAAGGAAATTCAAATGCTATGGAACTTCATTTTCAATAAATTAGTAGAAACCAGATATAATTCTCACTGACGTCACGGAAAGACGTAATCGTGAATTACGTAGATTCGAAAAAAAAGCACACATTATATGATAATCTGTAACGTTATTATTCTTATCTGGTAAGCGTTCAACACGTATTTTTACCTTGAAGGGACACGAATGATAATTTCTTTATCGTTCCTTGTAATTGCAAATCAAGAAAGACCCGTTATACGAGACTTCTCAGGTATTCCATGATCTTACTCAAACCCCGCCCTCCAGCGACCCGCAACCAACACTTTAATCAGATACTGGGAAAAGGTTACAAAAAAAGGTGGAGAGAAAAAACTGGATCGCTGGTGACTATTTCCTGTTTGAACGCTGGGTGCAGAAGAAAGGCGGACGACCTTGACATTTGCGGGTCCTGGCTACCTGCCTGCCTGAGACTCGTAGACGTGACCTGGATATCTGAATTCTCTCGTTTATTCCTTCACCAAGTTGGATCAACTCGCCTGGTATATCCACTACTCAGTAGTTAAAAGAGACCAAACTATTATTATATTCAGCATTGTCTTACTGGGATATTCACTTGGGAAGTGATCCACAGACGCCTGTGACCACAGGCATGGGTATAGTCATTCAACTAGGTACTTGGGAATAGGCATCAAGGCACCTCCTCTGAAGGGACAGATACTTATTGTCTGTTACCGAAGGATAGACGGGTATGTATTGTTTGTGGTCCAAGGTTAGACGGTCCCGAGGGATTACACAAGACTAGACAGGCTGGTCAGTTCACCTTGATGAAAGGTGATCAGGATACAGGAAAAGGAATATCTGTACAGTCTGACACAATGTTTTTTAAAGTGTATACAGCCTAACAACAATGGATGTTATTGGTTAAATCTAGCTAACACAGTTCGGGGTTTTACGACCCTGTCGTAATGCGGTTGTAATTTACCAACCAAGTCTGGTTTATACAGTGTAAGTGTAACTGTCCAGCCGAGCCTGAATTGTCATAAGTTTAATATGCCAACCAAGCCAGGCCATGAAAGTGCAAATGAGCTACCAAGTTCTGAATTACACTACTGTCGACCTCTGAGCATCTCTTGCTTAACTCTTGTGTTATGTATCTGCCACTCACCATGTACACCGGCCGCGCAAGCAAGTGTACATGGTCTCATTCTCCCCACTGTGCCGAGTAAGTTTGTACGACCTTGAAGGACTTCTGGGCGCGGCTCTGATATATTTTGGTCTCTTCCGACCCGTTATCCGACTGGTCAGACTGCTTATGGTGGCCGCGGCTTGTCCTGCTTGGGATAGTCTACGTCTAACAACCAGAATTTTAAATTTCTACTAATTTTCACCACTCATTTTAGTGGAGAAAAAAAAAACAATATATAAAAAAGGGGAATCTTTTATTAAATCATTTGGACTCTACAAGAGGCAAAATATTAATATTAACTATACAAGACACCAGTGCTTTCTCAAACAGCCTGTAGGGACGAGACAAAGCCGCTTGATGTTCTCTCCAAGTTGAGCACGGCTGGATAGTCGAACCTGTGTGGTGATGGGGTTAGCTCGTCGTGAAAAGCAGGGGAACGAGAGGGCACGATTGGGGTTGGAGTGGGTATGAAATGGCCCTGGGCACGCAAGACGGGCGCAGGGGAGTGTACTGGTGCTGGTGCTGGTCTATGGACTGGCTCTGGCACGTGGTGGGGTACTTGAGGTACTACGGGTACAGGCTGGGCACGGGGTGCAGCTCTGACGGGAGGTGGTCTGGAAGGGGCTTGTCTGACAGGTGCGGGCTCTGGGTTTGTTGAAACAGGCGCCCTTAGGTTACCAAGACCTTCCTGGTTGATACCCTCAGTACCGATGACCTCATAACCGATGCCCTGACCAGCCCTCCACAGCACTTTGACGCGATTGCCGTCGTCCTGCACGTATGAGTAAAATCCATATAGGTTTCCATCGGGACCGAATTTCTGGCCAGAGGTGGTGCCGTCTTCCTGGGCAAGTTCGTGGCCGAAGTTGCTGCCATCCTGATACGACTCGAATGAGAGAATCTTGGTGAAGGTGTTGTCCCGGGCGACCTGTGGCATAGCCAAGGCCGTGCCGGCAAGCACCACAATCACTACCTGAAGAAACAACGCACGGTAAGAATGTGTATGGGAACTCATGAAGGCAGATAGTAAACAACACGGTTCATATCGACGCTATCGGCTGAGAAATATTAGCTGCAAGCTAGCTGTCTATACTTCCGTCTAGAAATATGGAAGATGTAGACAGCAAACTTTGCTGGTCATATCGAAGACTACAATTGCCTATAATTCTGCTCAGATAGTAGAGATTGTGAAAGTATAGCAGAAGGCTCTCTGTGGATTGGTGAAGAACAGTTGTAACGAAAAATAAGCCAAGTTAATTGTGGTTTCAATGTATAATAAGGCTAACAGGTACACAGGGAAAGATTAAAGATCCTTCAGGTATGCATGAAAAACTCGAAGCAAAACAAGAAAGCGAAATGCAGGTAAACATTTTCTTTGCAATTTGACAGCGGAACTGCTGGAAGAAGGAATAACCACTTGAACCAGATAGAGTGAGGAATACAAGCTTTGCAGAGAGTATAGTATATGCTCTGGCGGAGTGTAGTCTATACCCTAGCAGAGGACAGTACATACCTAAGTATACAGAGGGAAGTATATACCCTGGCAGAGGATAGTATATGTACTAGCAGACAGGGAAGTACATGCAATAGCAAAGAGGAGGATTATATGGTTTAACAAGCAGAAGAGAGTACATGCTGTAATATATACCCTGGCAAGCTTTGGAAAGTACATGCTTAGCAGACAGAGAAATGTATATTAACCTGGAAAACAGAGGGCTAATAGTGAAAGACTTAATATCCTGATGTATATTACCCTGGCAAACAGAGGGCTAATAGTGAAAGACTTAATATCCTGATGTATATTACCCAGGCAAACAGAGGGCTAATAGTGAAAGACTTAATATCCTGATGTATATTACCCTGGCAAACAGAGGGCTAATAGTGAAAGACTTAATATCCTGATGTATATTACCCTGGCAAACAGAGGGCTAATAGTGAAAGACTTAATATCCTGATGTATATTACCCTGGCAAACAGAGGGCTAATAGTGAAAGACTTAATATCCTGATGTATATTACCCTGGCAAACAGAGGGCTAATAGTGAAAGACTTAATATCCTGATGTATATTACCCTGGCAAACAGAGGGCTAATAGTGAAAGACTTAATATCCTGATGGTAAAAATTAACTACATTTTCTTTAGCAATAACACTAGAGAACATTTACACAAAAAATAGAACAGTGTTCCAGTGAGGATTATCTGCCCATGACAGACACATTTATATTTACTTTCCGCTCAGTCGGGTTAAATTACGAAAAATTTTCCTCCTTATTATAAATCAACTTAAAAAGTCGAATAATATAAGCATTTCTGAGAATTAAAATTAAAAGAAAAATAATTTTGATTGTCAAAATTAAGATGAAATGCTGAAATTGTTGTGGCGGTGGTGGTGGTGTGGTGGTGGTGGTGTGGTTGCTGCTGTCACTAGGGTGGTGGTGGTGTTGTGTATAGTGGTGGTGTGGTTGCTGTCACTAGTGGTGGTGGTGGTTGCTGTCACTAGTGGTGGTGGTGGTGGTGGTTGCTGTCACTAGTGGTGGTGGTGGTGGTTGCTGTCACTAGTGGTGGTGGTGGTTGCTGTCACTAGTGGTGGTGGTGGTGGTTGCTGTCACTAGTGGTGGTGGTGTGGTGGCTGTATGGGGGTGGTGTGAGTATCACTAGTGGTGGTGAGTGGTAAGGACACTATGTATGGTGGTTTTGGTGGTGGAGTATGACTAGTGGTGAGTGTAGGACACTAGTAGTGTGTGGGTAGTAGTGGCTAGTCACTAGTGGTTGTGGTATAGTGGTATCTGTGTGTAGGGCTCACTAGTGGTGGTGGAATTAGTAGTAGGGACACTAATAGTGGTGGTGGAACTAATGGTAGGGACAGTAATAGTGATGGACCTAGTGGTAGGGATACTAATATGATGGTGTAACTTGTGGTAGGGACATTAACAGTGGTGGTGGAACTAGTGGTAGGGACAGTAATAGTGATGGTGGAACTAGTGGTAGGGACACTAACAGTGGTGGTGGAACTAGTGGTAGGGACACTAACATGTGTGGAACTATGGTGGACACTAATGGTGTGGAATAGTGGTAGGGACACTAACAGTGGTGGTGGAACTAGTGGTAGGAACACTAATAATGGTGATGGAACTAGTGGTAGGAACACTAATAATGGTGGTGGAACTAGTGGTAGGAACACTAATAATGGTGGTGGAACTAGTGGTAGGAACACTAATAATGGTGGTGGAACTATTGGTAGTGACACTAATAGTGGTTGTGGTAGTACATGGCAAGCAGCGGGCAAGACAACTTAAGAGGGTGTAGGAAGGGACTTACAAGCTGTCTCATTCTTGGTTAGTTGAATTCTCTGGGTTGGACTGATGGTGATCAGCCCGGTAGTGGCTTATATACCCGTGGCTCGGGTGACGTCAGGGCCGACGAGTTTGGCCAAGGATACCAGGTAGCGTCGGTGCCCCGGAGCTACCAGGCCAGCAACACCAGGTACTTGGAAATTAAAGCAGGTGAAGCCCCTATCCTGAGGGATTAACACTCTTTAGGTAAAGGAAGTCATGAGATTTTGGCCCTGAGCGTGAGTTTACTGGGCAGCGTTACTCATCCTGTGAAAAGTACATGTCGCCATCTAGAAAGGTTATTACGGGCAACATAGTTAACATTCAAACCATACCACGGGTGGGGTTTGAACCCGCGGTCAGAGAGTCTCAAAACACTTCAGTGGGGGATATCAACCCCATTATCAAGTAATCTTATCAACGAGTATCACTACCTTCATAAACACTTTCAATATGGAAACAGTGGTAATTAAGGTTCTGTTATTTATAAATTATTGGCTCATCAGAACTGTTCGTCACTGATCAGTATCTTAAATCGCTTTATAGTTCTCCTTTACCCAGCGCATTTATCACTTAAACACTCACTGTGTTCCCTCCTCTCCTTCACAAGTTACACAGACTGTGTAATACACAACTTATGAATGTCTAAATATTGTGCTAATTACATCCACTGTTAAACTACCGGTACATAATACACTGAAAATCCGTATGTGTGAAATATGACGACTGCTGATCTTCTCTGTGTATATTTAAGCAACTGAATTCTCTTTGCTGTTGTTAAATCATGTGTTCCAAGATTCTTCTTCACCTTCTGAGACAACACTTAAAATCATTTACTCAGCACCTCACATGACATGGAAATTATTCGGGGAAAATTTAAATACAAATTTATGAAGGAGAATACAGTTATTTTTTTACACTGATAACATTTATGAAAAGTTACTGAGGGGAAATAATATGATCTATCACACAAGAGGAGATTTATAATTATAATTATGGGGAGCGCTAAACCCGTAGGATTATGCAGCGCATGCGGGGGGAAGATGGAAGGTATTTGGGCTCATATCAAGGAACCGGAGCACAGATCCAATTTCAAGGACCCTCCCCTGAGGTTGTCTCGGCTTTCTGAGAGAGCTCTGGTGTATACCCAATAATTTTAGACTAATAAGATATGTCTTAATCGATAGGTCTACAAAAGTCAGCACTTAATCATGGAGAAGACCAAAACCCAGATTAGCATTGTTTATAATAGCGGAGAAGATGAGGCCAATACTTAAAAACAGCTGGATCCTCCTTCATTAGCAGAGCAGATAACCAGAGAAAAGAATATTGAATTACACGCTACAGATTATAAGGCTTAGCCACAAATTCCCTCTCGAGTGGAGGATGGGTTTCGAGTACCCTTGGTATTAGGCAATGTTTTGTTCGCCAGGAAACATAAGCGTCTCCTTAAATGAGGACTCTTTTAGTGGTTTAGGGTCCCCTGACCTACTGGAGTTGGGTTTTAATGTCATAAAAAACTCCATTGTAGTGTATCCTTAGATGACATCTTCAGGAGTGCAATACCTTCATGTAGTTTGATGCCCTTGAATACAACACAAGTAACATTCACGCGCCTATGACACTTCCTCGTGTGCATTTTATCAAATTAATAATCTGTTCTAAACTTTTTTGTTGCATCAGGACTGGGAAGAGAGATTTTGTGTGTGGAACAGCACTGAAAGGAACGGTCCTGCTCTGTTCTCTACAGAGAGAAACGGCTTAGTTTGGAATAACTCAAAGATCTGTTTTCTTTGCAACAGAGTACCTGAGACGAACCGTTCTGTATGGAATGCAGCACATAGCACTGATCTGTGTGGCACATAGTAGATAAGAATTTTTTATGAGTGGAATATAATACAGATAAGAACTGTTTGGTGTAGAATAAAGCAGAGTGAACTCGTCTGTGGAGAATGTATATAATCCTAGAGAATCTGTCAATGAGGAATGTGTATAATGTCAGAGAATTTGTCAGTGATTAGTACAAAAAGGAACAGTTCTGTGAGGAATATGAAGTCAGAACTGTCTTTTGTGGTACATAGAACAGAGGAACTGTCATGCATAAAATATAAGAACTGTACTGCGTAAAATATTTTCACAGCTTTTTTGCGTATAGTATCAGAAGAATTTTTATATTTAAAATACAGTATCAGAGAACTATTCTGTTTAAAAATGTAGTATCAAAAGAACTGTTGTTCTTAAAAGATAGTGTCAAAGCAGCTGCTGTGTATGGAACAGAACCATGATCTTTCCTGCGTTGTTCAGTAGAGAAAAGAACTATCTGTGCTATATTCTGACCAGTCTGAGGACCGTTATTTAAGCCTCATATACCATTGTTTCACACATTAATAGTACACTATTCCCACTAATCAATAAGGATATGCAAATTCGCTGTACTGTCGGAGCTTATTAGAAAATAGTTGAGATCTCTCACGTTAACCCTGTCCCTCCCTCCCTCCCTCCCTCCCCTCCCTCCCTCCTTCCCATCATTTTCCAGATAGGACTAGCAAGTTTACACTCTTCTCTTATGTAAACAGGAGGCCACGCCTTTCTCCTGCATTATGTAATGGAAGAGACGATCTCTTCTCCATCTCATATCAACAGGAGAACACACCCTCTTTCACATATCAACAGGAGACCACACTCTCTTTCACATATCAACAGGAGACCACACTCTCTGCCACATATCAACAGGAGACCACACTCTCTGCCACATATCAACAGGAGACCACACCCTCTTTCACATATCAACAGGAGACCACACTCTCTGCCACATATCAACAGGAGAACACACCCTCTTTCACATATCAACAGGAGACCACACTTACTTCCACATGTCAACAGGAGACCACACTTACTTCCACATGTCAACAGGAGACCACACCCTCCTTCGTTAGACTTTCTTCCTCCAGACACTGTTGCATCAGTTAAACAGTTGCTATGAGGGTAAGCAGACTGACAATTTAATTTGTGATACTGTACATTGGCCCAGTGCAAACAAGTCTGAATCAAAATGCTGTTTGTCCCTTCTGAGAGTAAACCAAATAATGGCAGAACTTTTCAATTTTTTTATAAACACGAACTTAATGAATAAAGTACAACGAACACTTGTCAGTGCTCAATAAGAACCTACATGGAGACAGATCAATCAATCTTAGAGTGTCTGCCTCTATGTGAGCTAGCATTGAGCATGAGCTTAAATATATAAAAAAATTAAAGATCCCATACCTACCTTGTGGGAGGTAGTCCTCCTCAAACCGATAATGGTGGTAGTTATCGTCCCATACGAGTGCTGTGGGTGGTAGTCAAAATATCTCATACGAGCATTATGGGTCTCGGGAACGTGGGGTGGTAATATTTTGTTAGCTATGCAAGTAACAGTAGCAATGAACTGTGCACACAAATAACTGAGCAAATATCAACGATTTGGTTACACAACAAATTCGGCCACAAACATTATGGAATTGAAGGCAGACGAGGAGCTCGAACTGCGGTCCGTAAATTGACAGTCCCACGTTCTACCGTCTAGACTAAAGCAGGGCTTTAATAGGAAGTATTCGGAGGTCATACTTATTATATTACATTCCGTCAGAGGTACCAACTGTAACCCAATTCTTTCCCTCGGCCCATGAGCTTTAACAGTAGATCTATTTTTGCCTGCCTTAAGGCTACATCGTTCATGAACTCAAATTAAATTGTAATAATGAACTGTCGATGAATAAACAGAAGGATGGTTATACCCTTACCTGTGGTCACAAGCGTCTGCTGATCACTTCTCAAGTTAATATCTCAGTAAAACCATACACACAAATATGGAACTGAGGATTCAGAACTCACTCAGTGAAGGCCTGCTGAACCACCACCTCAAAAATTCGATGGACATCGGGAGTACCATATCGAGGGAGGAAGGGAAGACTTCGTGGGGACATCGGGAGTCCCATATCGAGGGAGGAAGGGAAGACTTCGTGGGTATTCTCCCATCGGGGGAAGGTGTCGTGAAGCGAGTGAAGAACTCTTCTTCTTCCAAGGGAACTGAAGCTGGACTTCCCTATATTAGTTCAAACCTGATTATCCTCCCTGTTCCAAGGCGCTGTAATACTAATACGATTCTAATGCTTCCCAATGAATATAGTAAGTATAAATAAAACTAAATAAAAATCAAAATAATATAAAATGAAAATAATAATGGTTTCAAATCCTGTCCTGCTTGATAATCATATCAGTTTATTTCCCGAGATTTTTCTTTGTGTATTGTTAAGAGGAGACTAAACTCTTCGTAGCTTAAGTTAACTGAAGGACACGTTTCGATCGTTGGTGGATAGGTGATTGAGCATTAGGCATACTGACTCGTACGGGCTTTGCGCTGCATGATACACAATATTCTGTGAACGCACACCACCCTTTGGGGAAAAACATAGGAAGTACGCTACTTGAAGGGAGAAGGGACATTGGATGCGTACTGTGACCGAAAGGTCATTCAGTGTTCTATACGCACGCATACATACATACATACATACATACACACACACACACACACACACACACACACACACACACACACACACACACACACACACACACACACACACACAGGAGGGTCAGGGGAGACATGATAACGACATATAAAATACTGCGTGGAATAGACAAGGTGGACAAGGACAGGATGTTCCAGGGAGGGGACACAGAAACAAGAGGCCACAATTGGAAGTTGAAGACACAAATGAGTCAGAGAGATAGTAGGAAGTATTTCTTCAGTCATAGAGTTGTAAGGCAGTGGAATAGCCTAGAAAATGACGTAGTGGAGGCAGGAACCATACACAGTTTTAAGACGAGGTTTGATAAAGCTCATGGAGCGGGGAGAGAGAGGGTCTAGTAGCAACCGGTGAAGAGGCGGGGCCAGGAGCTAGGACTCGACCCCTGCAACCACAAATAGGTGAGTACACACACACACACACACACACACACACACGTATAACTATAAAACAGCCGCCTAAACTGGTCATGCCGGAGCCTCGGGTATCTTATTAAAACAGTTCACAGACATGACATACCACCGGCTGCATGAAGAGGAAC